TACGCGGGCGGCGAGCTCTTCTAGAGTAGTTATCTACTACGACTCTACTCCCTCGTCTTTAAGACCTCTCTTAATTACTATTATATCTTTACCTAGCTATCGTAAGCTTATTTATTCCTCTTCCTATAGTTCTAGATCTTTCTTTCTCGCGTTTTAACGCGTCTTTCCGTTTAGCGCGTACTAAGACGCGTCTAGGCTAGGTACTTCTCGGGCCGTAGTAGCGTACGAGTCGCCTTCGGCACTTATTATACCTATATAGTTTATTTCGTAGTAGTAGTACTATATACTTATTGTTCGATCTCTTTTCGGCGCGAGTTCGAGCTCCCCTTATATAATAAGCGATATTATAAGTTATTTCTTAATATATATAGATATAACTAAACTATTAATATTTACGAATTTAATACTTATAAATTATTACTAGCCTTTTTATTATTTAAAGTATTATTCTATTCGAGATTACTACTTTCTTACTTTTTTTCTAAAATTATTCTTATTCTTATATTTATATCTATATCGATAATTATTAGCTTTTTATTAAAGTTAACTATTATTATAACTAAAGTTTCCTAAACTTTCTATTTTTATTTTCGAAGCTTTATATTTCTTCTATTTTTATATAGAAACTATTATTTTTTAGTCTTTAAAGTTAAATAGATTTAATAGTTATCTTCGTAATAAAAATACTATAATTTTTAATAGTTCTTTTATATTATTTTACCTTTATTTTTAATAGATCTTTAGGTTTCGTTAATAGTATCGATTTTTTTCGCTATTAAGCTATCTATACTACCGCTCTATATATTTATTATATATAGTTCTTAAGCGCTTTTCTTTTCTAAATAATTATATATATAGTATTTAAGCTTACTATATTTATAGTATAGATTTTTCTTTCTTTATTATTTTTTTTCTCGATTTCGTTCTTCTATAATTCTTTACTCTATATTTCGACTTTTATCTAGGCCTATTCTTCGAGTATTATAATATTCTATTATATCTAAGTTTATAGAATTTCTATAATTTCTTAAGCGTTTTATATTAACTTAAAGAAGATATCGATATTCTCGGTACCTTCTTCTTTCTTAGCTCCTTCCTTAATTTTCTTCTATATATAGTTCGTATAGTCGATTATTAAGCTTAATAGCCTTATCTACTATCTTTTTATATATTTTCGAACGCTCTATTATTTTCTTCCTAACTTCCTTCTTTAATCTATTATAGAATATATTCTTAAAAATATTATCGTTTATATATTCTAGTTTCTTTACTAGTTTCTTAAATTTCGAATAATAATTAGCTATAGATTCTATTTACTTAAGGATATATATAATATAAGAGGCTATAATAGTCTTATTAATTATACTATAGATCTATTTAATTATTTCTTCGAACTATATAAAGTTTTTAAAGTATACCTTAGTTTAATTATCGAGGCTAAAGGACTCGAGGTAGTCGTTCTATACTAGTTTAAGCTAATAGAACGCTATTCCTTTAAGGTATATTATCGCGAATATAATCTTATCTTTTACTCTAGTATACTTAGTTAAATTAAGCTTAAAGGTAGTCTTAAGTTATATAAGAAAGTATTCTAGCTTCTCTCTATTTTCGTAGAATAGTTCTACCTTAATATTATTCCTAGATATATTAATAAATTCTAGTACGTTAACTATATTTATATTTAAGTCTTCGTTAGAACTACTATCTTAAATAATATTAATCTTTAAAGAATTATATAAGGTTATAAGTAGATATACGCTAGGTAGTAGAGATTTAATTCGAGATAATCCTACGTTAGATATTTAATACTAATTAAGTAGTAGTTAAAGTATTATAATCTAAGCTATAAGTAGTTCTAACTAAGGTAGAGTTCCTTAATAGAGTAGGTACTAGAGTATTCGACTAAGACGATAAAGGAAATATTTAATCGTCGGACTATATTCTAAAATATACATCTATATTTTAGACCGGGCAGCCTAGTAAGCCCTAGGCTACCGTAGGCTCGCAGCGCTAGGCTATAATAGATGCTTATTATAAGCTTATAGGGTAAACCTTAATTCCTGTGGGCTCGCTAGGCTTAGCCTAAGTGCTGTGGGCTCGCTGGGCTCGTACCTAAGTACTATAGACTTATACACTAACTTTACTATTTATAGAACTTTTCTATTTTATAATTATATAGACTATTCTTAATAATACTAAATAGTAGCCTTAGTATTAGTACTAGTAGATATATTATATAATATATATAGTAAATTTTACTAAACTTCGATATTTTAAATTATTAAGTTATTAGCGTAGTTAGTTAATTAATTAGAGTACTAGCGAGCTAGCCGACTTTAGCGTAAACCTTAAACCTTAAATTTTTAAAAAAATTAAAAATACGCTAAATTTACTAATATATCTATATATAAAAATTACCTAATTAGGAAATATAATAGTAGCTATAAGTTCTCATAGAATATAGAATAAGCGCTGAGTGGCCGTAGGTTCTCATAGAATATAGAATAAGCGCTAAGTGGCCGTAGGTTCTCATAGAATATAGAATAAGCGCTAAGTAGCCCTGGGCTCCCTAGGCTCCCATAGCAAATTGAGTTGCGCTGGGCTGCGGGCCAAAATACCGATGTAGGTATAGGATTACTAACGAAGTTAACTACGAATCGTACTATCTAAGTAAAGGAGCGTATATATATAATATTTAAAGTACTACTTTAGTATACTACTATATTAGAAGTATTATAATAATATATTAATATATTCCCTAGTTATATAATATAGCCTCGTCCTCTATCGGCTAACTTTCCTTAAACTATTCCTCGGAACGTAGGGCGCCTATCCTAGCGACCTTATTCGTAACCTAGTTCGTAATAATATCGCCGGTTTAGTCTAGGCGTTACTCGCTAAGATACGTTACTCGCTAAGATATCTATTAATATTACGTTATATCGTTAAGCTATATAACTATACGGTCGAATCTAGATATCGCTAGTTCTTACTAAGATATCCTACGAGTTTAACTCGTAATATTTAGATTATATTTCTTTATTCTTTAATTCTAATAACTTTCGTCGAGCGTCTACTATTAAACGATACTTCTTAAATAAATTATTTTTAGCTTTCTTCTTCTACTTACTAATTTAATAAAACTCTTCTAAGGAAAATATTTCGTTATATATTTATTAATATTTTAAGTAGTTCTCGTATTTTACGAATTAGTCGCGATTATAATATATTTAGTGTAGAATACTATAGCTTCGTTCTCCTTAATAGTAATAGAGACGATAACTTCGAGAAGTCGCTTAGCTTCGATTCGGAAACGCGAAAGCTTTAAGGTCTTAGGAAATTTTAGAACTTTTAGCTTATAGAATTTAGCGACGCGGAATCTATCTATAATAAGCTATAAGGAAGAGAAAGAAGAAAATAAGGATAAGGAAAAGTACTTACCTTAAGTATATTAGAATAATAGACTATTAGAAGAAGAGATAGTATTATAAGAATTAAGAAATAAGTTATCTAGTATAGATATCCTTAGGACTCTCTAGGAATATCTATAGAAAGGTATATCGACGAGGCTAGGCGAGGCTAGCGTATATAACTAAGGATCCGAATTAGAAAATATTATAGCCTATAGGTTTATAGACTATTAGAATAAAGAGGTATAGACGTATAGATACGATATTAATATTATATATATACGCTCCTTTACCTAGATAGTATAGGTTATAGTTAACTTCGTTAGTAATCCTATATCTATATTTAGTTTATAGTTCGACGATTAAATATTCCCTTTATTATCCTAGTTAATACTCTTATATCTACTCTATTAAGGAACTCTATCTTAGTTAGAACTACTCGTAGCTCGGATTATAATATAGGAGCTACTATAATAGTTAGAAAGAAAGATACTCCTAGTTAAGAGATTAAAGTTCCCTAGTACGATTATATAGGAGTATCTATTTCCGCCCTACGATAATTTTAATTCGACGTTAAAATAAGATTTTAAAATAGGATTAAGCTAATAGAAGATGCGGCGCGTGACGCCTATTCCGGTAAAAGATCGGCTTATAAGCGCGTATATAAGGTTAATACTAATTTCCAGTATTCAAGGTATTTATTAGGTAGTTTAAGACAATCGGATACATTATACGGGCAAAATCGTTTATAGTTTCTTTCCTATATAAATTAACGTCTTGTAGAGCTCTTGTTACTTTGTGCTTATGTCCATGGATCCGCGCTAATAAATCCTACACCTAAGTTCTCGCCCACCTTAGCCGAGAATAGATTGTGCAGCCGTGATTTTTTATTAGGATTTATGTATAAGGCTTACCAGCGGTGGTGTGCTTCGGCTCGTTCGTGATGATCTCTTTTTCAACTCAACAATCCTCTACTCTTCACATTTGCATGAAAGATCTTACTAATCTTTCCGAAAATAGTAATCCGAGATACCAAGTCTCGTAGACTTTTCTTTAATAGCTAGTAATATTTCTTATATCGTGGCTAGCTAATTTGATTCGGAAATCGCATTACTAGCGAGGTCGAGGAGTCGTAGACTCGGCGTTGAGCTTCGAAAGCACTCTGGCTCGCTTCTCGAGGATTATAGACGTAGAAAGCTCGAAGAACGTGGTAGGCCTACAAATAGGACATAGAGTCTAGATAGTAGTACTATTAAGAAAAATTGAGTATAGAATTGATAGACAGGAGAACCGCGAAATAGAGACTAGCAGATAAGTAGTCTATCTCCTGACTCAATGTCCAGAAAGTCCCTGATCCTACTGGATGCAAAGGTCGAACGAGAGGCTACGGCAAGTAATATTATGTATCTTGTGGTAAGGGCACCCTAAGTTTTCTACACTCATTGCTTGATAGGCGTCGGGAGCTTCAACAGGCAACCCGCATCCTATATTTGAAGGTGGTTGAAAAGGGTGATTTTCTAAAAAGGTTTTCGTCCGGGCCTCTAGCTCTTCTGTAACTCTGATATCGAGTTCCAGTCCCTTCAGGCAAAATCACTGAGATTCCTTGTCCGATCGCTGTTGTTTTTGTCGAAGTAACTCTTTCCCATAATCGTTGCCGTTAGGCGTCCTCACCAAAGTATGGATGTGGAAGGGTAAAGGCAGAGCATTGTTCAAGAAGACACCAGAATGATGATCAAATTCGACCATAATAACGGGGGAATGCACCTTGTAGTAGAATCCATCATTCCTGTTGAATGCGCCGATCCAACAGAAGTATGTCTCTGCCCAATGATTCTCCACCTCAGCCATCTTTGTGACTAGAGCTTTATCTGGAAGGTAGTTAACACTCAAATATACCAGATGACGGACAAGATCTTGTTGAGCGGCCGAAAATCCGGTAACCTTCAGTCCTTCGTAAGGTATAACTCGATTATCCTGGAATGCACCCCCTAGATGCCGCTGGTCAGCAGGATGATAGCGCCACTCAGGATATTCTGAGCCTTGTAGTTCGTTATAGACTCGTAGATGTTCCCGTATCACAGGATCGAAGGAGTTTATCAATTCAAGAGCAGTCTGTTCCTGGTCGGTGAAGAGCTCAGTGCCCTTGTATGGCCCGTCATCAATAATGTTCGGTTCAGCGCCCATGAACACTGGCGTTACAACCATTTGTGTACCAACCACGAAGCAATTCATGTCAAAGTGATGGCCAAATAGTTGCCAGCCCCAAGGCTCCGCCTCTGAAGGAGTTCCGAAAATAGTCATGTTATATGACTTTTCGTTTAAGACTTTGCTGCCATTGACAGTCTCTCCAAGAAAATGGTTGACTTTCATGCAACCCGTAGCCTTATAATAACCTGTTTTGGATAAAGATGCGCGGATAAGTTGCAAAACCGCGTCGACTAGCTCGTCAGAGGCCTCTTCAAGCCGCACGCCATGCCGAGAGATATAAATTTCAGGGTTCATCCAAGCTCGCCATTCCCGGGCGTGAATTGGCTTCCTCAGTGCTTTTCTTTGATCTGGAGTTGCCACAGACAAGGCCTCCTGTGCAGCTCTTACCATTTCGGTCACGGGTGACCCATGGTCTTCTTCCTTTTCGGAGAGACGGTATAAACCCCCAATCACACTTCCATTGGTGGTGATCCCTTTGTATGGCTGATTATACAGTTCATCCCATGTTTTCCTCCAGCCAATGACGAACGGTTCAGCACAACGTAACTTTGCCCATTCGTATGGAGTTGAGTTCGCCAGTTCAACACTTCTTTTCAGGTCTTGTGGTGGAATAAAATCTCGCCAATTTGTTGATTTGAGATTGGACTTTGGATTGTCCGACATATTTGCTACTTTCCGCAATCTGACAGAAACCAGTACGTGAGCTGACCGTGACGAACTACTAGAGCGAGCTGAAACTTGTATGCCTTTATTTGTCAAAAGGGTTTTTGAGCGGGGCGGGTGCTTTGTATTAGCGACCAGTCAAAAAATGCCCAAGATTGCGTGGCGTGACAGGTAACATTAGTCAGACTGGGTCAGACTACGGTGGCAAGGACGAAGAGCGAGATCCTGGGGTTGTTCAGAATGTGTGAAACCAAAGGAGCTTGCTTCCTATCTCATGTCCAAATAATTGTTCCGCATCACATTTGTGGGAATACCTGGACCAGATTTGAGCCCCAGTTTACGGTGAATCAGGAGACGAAGCTTGATTGGGACAGTGGTTGACTGAGCAGCCACTTAAAACCTGTCCCCACACTGCGATAGAGGCTTGCCTGGGGCCTCTTCTCCAGGAGCAAAATCCCGGTGTCCAGATTTGGAGCCACAAACTCTATGAGCTCTCTATATGTTGAATCGCGTAGTGTCCCAGAAAACGGCTAGAATGAGGTCTAATAGACCAATGTGTGCGGTCCACGATACCCACCACAAAGCCGGTGTTGCAGAACGACTTTCTGTAAAATGCAAATGTTTAGGTTGGATATGAGAATAGCAGCGTCAAGTATAAAGTGAAATCGTCGGAGTATTGTACTATGCATCATAGTAGACGGTATCGATATTAGAAGGATAAATTGTGGACTAGGTGAGCTGCTTCAACCCAGGCATGGAACCACATGTCTTACAGTGTACTGCTATGGAGTCCCTCTTGCACAACCTGATCTAATTCCCACATGGTGTGAGACCATTTGACAATATGGAGCCGTGGGGCTCATCAGCGATTCTAGGTAGACCTGACGCTTTGATGGTACTCGACCTAGGCGATTTTGACATCCCAGGAAGCATCACTGGCGGAAGTCTGCGAATATGGAGTAGGATTTGCAACTGAAGTGGGTTCAGTGGATCTTCCCCGTGGACCCCACATTTGCACCTGATAGTACATGATGTTCACTGAGAATATCTGTGACTTCGTGAATTAGTTACATCTCTTGTGCTATCACTACAGCACTGTCGTGGGCGAGATGGCTGACGCCTTTCTAGAGTTAATCAAAGCTCGTCGAACTACCTATGCGATTCAGGCAAAGTCCCCCATCTCCGACGAACGAATTCAGCAAATTGCGAGCGACGTCATTAAGCACACACCAAGTTCCTTCAACTGCCAGTCGACGCGATACGTGATCCTCCTGCGTGGCGACCATGTCAGATTCTGGAAGATAGCAAAAGAATGTTTCCGAGCTGCACTCTCTCAGAACGAGTATCAAACCTACAAAGAGAAATTAGACAGCCGTCAGGCGGGGTACGGAACAGTAAGCTGCCGCACGATCAGGCGTTGAGAGACATGAGAGCTGAACCTTACAACTTAGATCCTGCTGTTCGAAGACCTTGATACCATCCGAGAGTACCAGAAGAAATTCCCACGATTCGTATGGCATCTTCAATCGTTCTCTGAGCACAATAACGCCATGTCAGCGTTCAACCTGTGGACCGCTCTCCATCTTGAGGGACTCGGTTGCAACCTGCAGCATGTCAATCCAACAGTTGATCAAAGGGTAGTGGAAGAGTGGAATGTTCCAGACAGCTGGTCTCTCAAAGCACAGCTAGTATTTGGTAGTCCCACAGGCGGACATGAACATAAAAAGACCTTCAAGCCTGCAGAAGAACGCATCTTGGTTCCCAGGGTTGATCGACCAGATCCGAACGTCAAAAATTCTGAAGCAGTCGTTGCGTAAGCATGAAAGACTTGATAATGGGATAAACCGAAGACTTTGAGTCTTGGTTGGCCAATAACGCCTCGGATCTGCCGAGTACCACAGTACTGGTTACCTTTTCAAAAGTGCTTCGGTACTTTCTCAAGCCGCCTGTCCGCGCGGCCGCATAATCAGGTCACAATTCAAGGTGCACAATGTATCTTGCAGTGCAGGATTGAGACATTAGGAAAAGTTAGAGTTCCGTGGCAAGATCTCCTTCCTTGTTGTTGGCTTAGACAACTCCGATCAGAATGGGAATCAGGAGTATACCAATACTTATTGCTACGCATGCGCAACGATGCAACATTTAGTGCTCTCAATCTCGTGGAGGCCGATGTAGCTAAGTCCCTGAGCGTGGGTGTCTAGAGTTTTGACCAAACTCAAGAATAGATCGGTCAGGTATTGCCAGCTCACACCCTTCGATAAGGACCGTCATCGCGTTATGTTACACCTTGAACTGACGCTTGATGCTGTTGGCCACGCTAAACGTATCAAGGATGAAGAGGTCAATCTTCTCGTATTGAATAACTTGTTTTCGTTTTCAATGGTTGCGAGCAATAATAAAATCACTCATAGTCCTAAGAAGCTGTGAATATCTCGATTCGCGCCATTTGCCGAGATCGTCCAACAAGCGCGCGTAGTTCAGTAGTATCTTTCTTAATGCGATCCCATTACCACTGAGGACTTCTCCGGCAAAAGCTGCAGGGACTCCGTAGCGTATAAACTCGCAAGCAGTATAATCTTGGTCCTTAGACCGTTGAGGATCAATGGAGGAGCTGGACTGGAGGGTTTGTGATGTCCCTCGCATTCCTTCGACCCCAACGACCGTCCAGTCAACGTCTTGGAGCAGCTCAAATACGCGGGAATCGTAATCCACCACTTCATTGTGAGACACAAAGAGGTACATGCTGAGGACAAGGGCAGAGTTAAACAGGAGAAGATCCGGTCTTGCAATATTGTATTCGCTCAGTCGGTGTAACGATAGAATGTCAAATATTTGGGCGGCATGTAGGGCGGCTCTGCGGGCGCTAGGTGTTTGTGCCCACTTAGCCACGACTTGAATGGCATTGAGGGCCGAATCCACGCCGTCACGACCTGAAGCGATTTCCAAAAGGTCCAAATCCGCCGTAAGCACAATACAGAGATTATTCCAGGTCAACGCTGTCACCCTATGCCGCTCACAGAATAGGTGCCCATACCTCGAGGGGAGCAACGAGACAGTTTTGACAAGCTCCTTAGCCTTACTGGATCTTGTGAACAACTCGCGAGCCTCCAGAGTTTTGAAATTTGCAATAGGCGATCTGTGTCTTATGGCTGCTGTCTGCAGATATAGTCCGACGAGCAAGGTCTCCATGGCCATATGGTTAAGTGCAGCTGGAGGATTGATGTGGAAGTTGTGAATCTGTATTCGTGGTGGCAGCAACAGCGCTCCACGTTGAGCAGTCTGAAAGAATCTGTGTGACGTGCTGGCTTCGAAGAGTGAAGCGTCGCAGGGCAAATAAAGCTCCACTTTATCAATGTCGGCCACCCCGGCACTGCCCATTAGACGCGTGTATCCCATGTCAACCCATAAAAGGCAGCATATCATTCGCTTAATCGATTCGGCCCGGCTCCAACCCTTCCACGAGTCGTGACTGTTGGAGGGGTTGGTCTGCAAGTGGGAGGCAATATTGTCGCCATCTGATGCCATGAAAAGGCCATGTTTTTCTGCAATGTGGAGCATTTGAACAGCAAGCATATGCGCCTGGCGCTCGTCGAGATCTTCAAGCAACGCTAGGCCCAAGTATATCACCAGCAAAGTAGACGCTATCGCCACCAGTAGCTCCCATGGCTGACAACGGCCGAGTGCCTTTTTCGTCAGATCGCTTCGACAAAAGCGCATCAGCTTCCTCTGAGTATGGAGAACAAACGTCTTGGAACGTTCTGGATAGAGCGACGAAAGACCAATGAGGCATGTCGGAAGCAATAAAGACTCTGGCGTTGTCTTTGGGTCGAAAGTGGCTTTGTGGAGAAAAGGTAAGTGAGGGCACTGAAAGTAGATATCTAAGCTCACATCGAGGACTTCGGCGGCAGGGAAGCCGTCCTCTGTCAAGCCCGGAAACAAGCTTTCAGACTCGGGCCGAGTATTGTGATGGAGAGGAGTGGAATGTTCTGTCATGTCGGCCAAGTCTTGGGATTCGATCTTCTCATCGAGCTCCCTACAAAATACCATGAGGCGCTCTCGACAATCTTTGTCGATATTGGATCTAGAAGAAGTTGAAATCGCCGAGATCACTTCCGTCTGATCGACATGACTTGCAGGCATTGAGAAGATGTTATCTGCCGGATGCTGCACAACACTTTGCCAAAGCATCCGAATTATACGAACGCCGGGAGCTGCTTGTTGTCCGCGCCACATTTGTCGTAGTTTTCGTACTTGCTCAGGGAAGAATAGGAGGTTTGGCTTGTCAGGGGCATAGCCGGGGCTACGCGAAGGATTCGCCGTAGGAGATGGTGGAGTTGTAAACGCCAGATAATCCAGTATGCCAGGGCTCAGATAATCATACGCGGAAAAGTCCGCGTCAAGGAGGAATGGGTTATTGTCGAAGTTGCTTTCTGGCTGGACCGCTAAGGGTGTATTCTCTGCAGGTCGCAATCCTGCGCCATGATGAGGTGGCTGCGGTTCGGGCATCGTGGAAACATCCACGGCTCCAATCTCTCGGGCTTCGGACCTCCATACCTCCTGATCGCGTGCTGCTGGCCTCAGCGATGGTTGGGATCGATTTGTGTAACTGCCAGGTGACGCATCGGTATTATCTTGGGTGTTCCCTTCAAGAAAAGGATCAATTGGGTGGGAAGTGGCCCCTACACGATGCTCGGTCGATGGTGGCGGACTGTGCTGGTCTTCTCGAACATTGGCGGATAATCTGGCCCGAGCAGTGGCGGGACATGAAGTCGAGACCACAGGAAATACTCCTGCGAGACCCTCGGACCTATCAGAATCAAGTGGTTGCAGTTGAGATTCTGAAGCTGCCGTCGCATCCTGCTGTTCGTTCACAGGTTGTAATAATGCTGGTTGTCCTAGTTGGTGATCGATTGCTGAGACACAGGGGAATCTGTTGGAAGAGAGATAAAATGGCTGCGGATCATTTGATGACGGTAGCACATGGATGTCACTCAAGAGACCACTTGCCCTGCCTGATTGATCCGCCGCAGTCTGAAGGCTTCTTTGGTCTGTGCCGTCGTTGTGGTCGACCGACCGCGATGGACGTCCTGTAGCAATATCTTCAGCACTGTGTAATCGTGACACCTGGATAATGTCTTCCAAGGGATGGGTCTGCATATGACGAGCGAGCACATCACTACGGCCATATCGCCTTTCGCATTTGTGGCATTTGAATGGCCTTTCCCCTGTATGCGTCCTTTCATGCCGCTTCAGATGTTCCTCCTTATTAAAGCTCCGATCGCAAAATGCACATTGTTTCTCTCTCTCTTTCGCACTCCGGCGCATGATTTCCCAGCACCTTGAGGCGAATTGTTCGCTCGTTGCGACCGGATACGTTGTATCCGTCCAGAGCCAGCGAAACAGCAACTGACCGGATTTGGAGGTGTTTACAAACGCTGGCAGGCAGCGGCTCTAGGTTCGTAGGTTGTACTACGCGGCGTGGTGGTGCGGACACATGGAGTGAGTCGACATCTTGGATGGTTGCCAAGGTGGCGCGGTAGCGGTGCTTGCAAGGTGTGCCAAGCCTTGAGGTTGAGGTCCTCAGCTCAATTGCTCGTGCTTCGGCTACCGTTTGAGCAGAAAGTCAAGCTGGGGAGCAAGTGAGCAGAGCTGCCTGCACCATTCAATACCCAAGATCCCTACCACGAGTTTTTCCACACATTCTCTACTGGAGAGACATGTCTCAAAATGTAGTGATACTAATCTCGGTCACCAGCGAAGTATTATTGGCGTGCGCGTGGTAAAGAGGTCTGCTCTTTTTGCCTGGAACGTCTGAGTGTTGAGACTCACGCCCATAAGTTTTAGGCGCTGTGCGCCTAAAGCTAGTAGGCAATAGCCATGGGTATTTGAAGGAGCATAAGTTTGCGCCCCGCTTACTTGCCGAACACAACGTTGTCAACGTTGACTGACAAAGTTATTAGTGCTGCCAGTGTCCTAACGCCGGGCAACGTGTATAGAGGCTAATAGCTTTGCGTAGGAAGGCGTTAAGGAAATTTCGAGTTCCCAACAGTCCTGCATAGCGGCAGCAAGGATTGAAAAGTTGCGCCGGACCGCAGCTCCCTAGGCCGCTGTCGGGCTCGCCGTAGGGCCAGCCACCGCTGCCAGGTTCCGGTATGGCAAGTGCACAGCCCAACCCCAAAATCGGAGCCTGGAAGACAAGCACATCTCAACCCCGAGCACCAGAATTTTCGCCTCCAACATCACCGTTCCCTCGTGTATCGCCAACGCTTGGCCTACGGACTAGACACCTGGTTGCAACGCTCAAAAGCCGATATTCCGGGCCAAGCGGACATCATCCTTGATTGGGATCTGTTATCGGACATTGTCTCTGGCAGCAACCGATGGAGTGAAACATGATCTTCGCAGGTGTGCAAAGAAGTTTGGAGGATTGCTGAACAATTACCAAGCTCCGACCTTTGCTGGGACGAGATTGGCAAGACAGGCACAAGCTCTACATAGGGCGACACCGGAAAACTCATTGCTGGGTTTGCATCATCCAACGACGAGACCCAAGTGGGTTCTCATCCATGCGTTTCTCATTCCTGTATCACGCAGGCTCCGTAAACAAAGAAGGATACCGCTGAGGCCAGCGACCGATTCCGGTACCGGTTAGCTATCACTTCGCTGCTTGTGAGAGTCTTGCTGGAACCCCTATCCACTGGCACCATGCAGACTATGCTTCTTGCCATGAGTCGTTATGGAACGTGTACAACAGAAGGTGGCCTACGACGGAAAGACGGAAGTTGAGACGGCTGAGGCTTTGCTCATTCCCTGAATACACCGTAACTACGCACGTCTTGGCCGAAGCCATCTAGGAAGCCCCCTGGGTGGGCGACATACCGTGGACCTGTTTCCTAAATCCAGTCGCAAACACGAATCTGAGAAATTAGCTGGACGCATCTGCACGCTACGACAAGAGGAATGGGAATCTCTACGTACACCTCCTGTCGACGACCCGAGCAATCAGATTTCACCTCGTTTTGATGCACTATTATCCACGTAGGGATCAAATATGTGGGGGTGGGGCATAGCATGCGAAGACCTCGCATGTTGCAAACATCGAACAAACGTACAAAGGCCCCACCTACTGCTTATAATCATTTTCGCACGTCGCTCTATAGATACCGTTGTAAAACTTGTTGACTCCGCTATAGGCGGTCTATTCTGACTCATGGCCACTCTCACACCACTTCTCGACATCGTTTTCGCTTTTCACAACGATATCCTCTCAGAATGCTGCTCGATATTTCGCTCCCAGATTGGACTTTACCCCTTATTTGTGTCGTTGCAATAACAGCTCGTTTCCTTTACAATAAATTCGGATATGGCATATCTCGGATTCCGGGACCATTTCTAGCCTCATATACCGATCTCTGGCGCTTCTTCCTCGTTTGGGGTGGTCGCGCCGAGCTCACGCATATCAAGTTACACGAGAAATATGGGCCGCTGGTAAGAATAGGCCCGAAAAATGTCTCGGTGTCAGATTCCGGTGCGGTAAAGCTGATTTATGGCCTAGGTGCCGGTTATGCTAAGGTAAGCGCAGTATCTTGAGTCGGGACCATGAGGATGACTCTTTTTCCATTAACAGTCAGGCTTTTACCCCGTTCAACAACCTGTGACAAAGGATGGTTTCGTTTTACAGGGATTATTCAGTACTACTGATGAAAAATACCACGCGAAACTCCGACGCGCGGTAGCAAATGCTTATGCTATGAGTACACTCGTTCAGTTTGAACCCTTTGTCGACTCAACCACCACTGAGTTTTTAAAGCAGCTCAGTCAGCGCTACGCAGACAAGCCGGATACAGTTTGCGACTTTTCTCGATGGCTCCAATTCTACGCATTTGATGTGATTGGAGAGCTGACCTTCTCAAAGAGATTGGGATTTGTAGACCACGGTATTGACGTGGACAACATTATTAGAGATAATGAACGGATGCTCGGATACTTTGCAGTGGTAAGTTTCGAAAACTATATCGACGACCCGGAATGGCTAACAATATTCTTACCACTAGGTTGGCCAGGTCCCCATTCTAGACAAGCTCTTGCTGAAAAACCCAATTCGATTATTATGTAGTCGGATGGGTTTGATCAATGCGACATCACCTGTGGCGTTTTTTGCGAAAACACGAATGGAGGAAAGGCTGGATAGTACTCACCCTAAGTCGAAAGAAGGCGGCCGCCATCACGACTCAAAGCGAGATTTCCTGTCGCGGTTCATGGAGGCCGGGAATAAAGACCCAACTTTCATGAACCGAAGCCGTATCCTCTCGCTGACTGCCGCCAATATGTTTGCTGGTTCGGACACGACAGCCATATCCTTACGCTCCATATTCTATTTCTTACTTAAAAACCCTTCAAAGCTCCATAAACTACAACAGGAGCTCAATCAAAAGGAACACGACGGCTTCTTCTCTCGTAAAGACAGGCTTGTGCGCTGGGCCGAAGCGAATGAACTTTCATATCTGGGAGCCGTCATAAAAGAATCACTTCGTATCCATCCTGCGGCCGGGCTACCACTCGAGCGAGTAGTTCCTTTAGGTGGTACTGAGATCAGTGGCCGATATCTCCCGGCAGGGACTGTAGTTGGGTGCAGTGCTTGGACAATCCATCGCAGCAAGGAAATCTTTGGAAAGGATGTCGACGCATTCCGTCCGGAACGGTGGCTGGAAGATCCGGCAAATATATCCAACATGAATCAATCTTTGTTTACCTTCGGTGCCGGAGCTCGAACATGTGTTGGGAAGAACATTAGTTATCTGGAGATGTATAAGCTGGTGCCTGCCATCTTCAGGACGTTCGACGTATGTCTAGTCATTTCAGTCAAGCTTTGTGTCCAGGACACTGACCGAGCATAGGTGCAACTCGCGAACCCTTCTGAGGAGTGGCATCTCGAAAACAAATGGTTTGTGAAGCAGAGTAACTTCTATGTGCAATTTACTGCTAAAGGAAGGAAAGTGTAGTCTTTGACCTGCCATAGGCCGGATACTCACACAGGTTTAACAGGTCATACAATTATTCGCTGTCGTTCCGCTTGCATTTTGGCTTGTGATTCAGCTACAGATGGCTCTTTACCAAGTTGCGGCGGAATAGTTTTATGTTCATATAATGCAAGTGATAGACAACGTAACTGTGCGATTGGGACATCTTGCGAGGGCACAATGCCAAAGGAGCCGGCGCCCACGTGGTGGCGGAGCGGATCTCCAAACCTGGAGTGGCTGGTTCCAATACAGTATCTTAGCCTCTTCCATTACGTGGTGTAGGGATTGAGAGGTAAAAGAGGGGGTGCAGGTGCATGTTGTAATGTAGACCTGCGACTGCGGGTTTTGTAACGTCGACCTGGCGTGTAGGCAGTATAAGGATTTTTGTCAGGAGATTGACGTTCCCTGGTTTCTATTCAAGGGAACTCGAGCAAACACTAAGGGTATACAGAAGTGCCAAGTGCAACCTGAACCAATCATCGGTAATTGAAGTCAGCATTAAGAAAAAGGACTTCGGCTGGATGCCACCAGGCTTGACATGCAGGCGTTCATTTCGATATCGTGTCCCACAATGGGGTTCGTCGTATCCACATGGGGCCTTTTGGACGACACGCATGTATACCATATCTTGGCGAAAGGATGTTACGCCTTTTATTTGTTTCATTTCCTCATTTGCTGCCCATGTCTAGCATCCACCTAGGATAGTGACGGTGCATGCGTTCTTTCCGACATTGTACGACTTGCCTTGTCTGGTTGACATACGGAACATCCTGTCGTTTTGACGTGGTAGACACTCTCAAGTCGACGCAGCAAGTATTAAGCATGGTCGACTGGAATACAGACAACTTCATGGTCGAGTGGAACTCGAAATATGTGTCGACGAACGTAAAAGCGGGAGCAAGACCTTACGACGAAAAAATGTTTCTGGAAATGAATTCGCAGTTGGCCGTGCTGCCAGAGCTGCAAAACTGCAGCTATGCCATTATCGTAGGTTAACCCTGACAAAACTGACCGCTACGTGAGTGCTCAAAAATTTACTCACTTCGAAAGGCTGTGGCATGCTGCGCCGTTGGCCGTGCAGATATTGTTGGTCGATTCTTTGATAGCCTCACCGCCAACACAGAAGCAGAAAACTCGAAGGAAATATTCCTTCGTCTTCGAGAAGCTATCACCATCGTCTTTCCTTATCTTGGAATGCCAACGTGTATACCGGCCTGCTATGGTATGATTGGAGTCGTCCAAAGAAAAGGCCAGGATTTTGCTTCAACAAAAGTCCTTCGTAAGCCAACAGTGGACGAAGAGGACGCCAGGAGAGGGATTGAGCTCCGAACAAGAATATACAAGAATGTTGGAAATTCTGAAATATTTGGTTTGATGAATAGGTATTTTACTGATCTATGTAAGTTCATCGGACACCCCAGCGCGACTAGTTTCCTTGTGGTGTGCTAATACGTTTTGGAACATAGTCACTTGCTCAACAGTTATGACTTGGGGTTATTTGATCGCAAAGGCCAACGACGAAGTTTTCCTAGTTAACGAATCTCACCTCATTGTCGCATCTACGATCATGGCATTAGGGGCCACTCGCCAGACTATAAGTCACATCAAAGCCACCTTAGGTATTGGAAACTCAGTGACATGTGTCAAGACTGTCATGAACGCTATCATTAACATCACATATTGGGCAGACCGTTCAATATTGGCATTTGACGTTGACCAGCTCTCTAAAGAAATTCAATAATAGGTTCGCGTTTCTTAGTTAAGACAGAATAGCACATTTTCACGGATTTGCATTGACATGGCGGTGTTTCATGGATCAACACGTGTCCATTGTGGACCATATCCATTCCATTTGAGCTAATGTATCATCCGCACTCTCGTTTAATTCCTCCCTATTACCTGTCTGGTCAGCCAGACCCAACCTCTTACTGCTACCCCAACATACTACTCGGTCATGACATCGAACTTAACAATCTAATTTCGACATTCGACAGCATCGGCGCGTGGTATGAAAAGCAACAAACTAGAGTTAAGCATGATTTGAACTGAGTTCTAATCGAGCCCTTATCTATTGCAGTGCCCAAATCCATCCCTAATATGTAGCGATATTATGTCTTTTTGCCATTCAGTAGGGATCGTGGACAGTTTGAACCTCGTAATCACATTGGCAAGGTATAAGATACCGCCCTTAAAACCACCAAGGACTAGAAGAACCCTTGAACTCTGGTAATGCCTTTCCCCATAGTCGAGGGCGCCAAAGATTAATAGGCGTCTCTCGTCAGTTATTCGGAAACCTTTAGAGTGAATGTCCGACTACCCTTCTTACCCCTAGAGTGACAAAATGGTCAGCTATATGTCGACATATACTAATTTAGTCACATAAACTAACTAGTATACCAGCCTTAGTTTTATCCCTCACCTATATAATACTCATCTGATGCAGCGATGGTGAGTCTCGTCTCAACACGCTAAGGTTTTAGCGAGGAAGAGTTGACTCTCACTCCCTAAATATCTCCTGCAACCTAGGTAGAATGAATATGAATGGCAACGGCCAGCCATAACAGGATTCGCTAGTCAGTAAGAAGAGAACTTACACGCGAGCTCCAACCAATACCCCGTCACAACTCCGCCCTTTTGGTCATCGCATTAATCTCTAGGGAAGCAACCCCGCGACCTTTCAAGAAACCCGCTTGCGTTGCCGCTAGGACTAGTATGCCGCATCCGGTGACTTATTACTTAGTTCTATTCTATACCAACTAGGACTTCGGAATATTATTTCCAAACTATTTCGATCTAGCGTATATATCATCGCACGTGTATTGCAATCTCCTAGTAAGGCTATAGTTCTTAATACGATACCGTAGTAGGCCGAATTAAAGTAGCGGAAGGATCCTTTAGGACCTTCTACTTCCAGTATATTCTCCTCTAGTACTAGTAAGTCTGGGCACTATATAATGTACCAACCGTATAGTGTGCTACGCGTCCCGCGTCGCGTTTTCCAACTACTCCTCCTCTTCGACACATAACTACTCGTACGTAATACTCTTTCTACAGCTAAAATAGTATTAAATTAAGAGACTAGAATCTAGTAGGCTATTCTAGACTATTAAACCCGTCGATATCTAACTATTCGTTCTACTACCGTAGTAAATAACGTTAATCGTATAACTATAAGAGTATAAGTAACTTAACGAGAATACTAAGATAATCGATTAATTACTATATAGTCCTTAGAACATCGACTATAAGAACTTAAGGAGTCTAAAAATCTCGTATACGATTTGTATAGCCCCTAAGGTCTTATATACTAGGCCCCTTAGTATTTTAGGACTAGTCTTAGTATAGAATAGGTACTTCTAGAGTCTATCGTAGTCTTATTTCGTAATAATTACTCTTCTTCTCCGAAGTATACTTATCCTCGAGTATAGGAGTAGTAAGTAAAAAGTAGCGTTCTAGTATAGCGCTATATACGTTCTATATTAATATTAGAAAAAATATAATATATTTCCCTAATCTTAGGGTCGCTTCTAATCCTAATTTATTCTACTCTTAAGGATTATTTCGTATTTACTTTAGTTTACTTAATTCTAGCGAAACTTTATCTACTTCTCGTACTCTAGTATAGTATATATAGTAAGCTATACCTATAAGGCTAAACTTTTTAATTATTTAGTTCTCGCTATTTAATTTTCGTTAAGGTCTTAGCGATTAGTTTCTAGGTAAAGAGTATATTAACCTTCTTCTACTCTATCTTTCTTCTTCTTTTTTTCTATATTTCTTATTCCTTAAGACCTTCTCCCTTAGTAAGTTCTATAGTTAGTCCTCTACTTTTTCCCTACTAATAGTATACTAGCTACTTATCTTTTTATCTCTATCTAGAATTTCTATATAAGTTTTTATTTTTTTCTAGGATAGTTAAAGTTAACTTAGTATACTAATTATCCTTATCTAGTATACTACCTAGTCGAGCCTTTATTCTATTAATTTAAGGGAATATTAATAATAAGATTACTAAGTATATTTATATAAAATATATAAGATCCTTAAGAAGGAATAACTAAGTATTACTTAATAAGAGTAAGCTTATTCTTCTTATACTAAATATATATTAATTCTATTTTAGATAGAGAGATTTAATATAAGACTAAGAATAGGAAATATACTTAGTATAGAATCTAGGATTATACTTATAAAGTAGTAAGTTTCCTTTTCTTATACTATTCCTATATTAATCTCCTAGGTACCTTTATATTTAATATATACTATAAGAGTTCTAGTTAAGTTTACTATAAATTCTATTAAGCCTAGTAGTATTAGCTAGATTATTTACTCTAGTAAGCTTTTTATTTTTCTAGCTATTCTCTTATTAATTCTATACTAGATCGTTCTATTATAGAAGTAATTAATCGTATAGTTCGCTATATTACTTCTAGCGTTATATCTCGTAATAAATTTATAAGCTTCTCGATTACTAAACTAGATAAGAAGAATCTTAATTTTATATTATCTCTTCTAATACTTAATACTATTAGAACTTTAGTTAAAGTCTAAGCTTAGGCTATAGATTCTTCTACTACTCCTATACTTTCCTTATACTAATACTTTTTCTAGGCTCGAATTACTCTATTCCCTTAGCCTAAGAAAGATTTATATAATTTAACCGCTAGTAAGCTTAAAGCTAATATAATAATAAAGGATATTAAGATTAAAGCTATCGATAACTAGTCTACTAGACGAGTATAACGATACTTTTATATAGATATTAATAGTAATAAGGGTAAGCGGCTTTATACTATTAATAGAAATTTCTATACTTTTACTAATTTAAAATAATTATTATTAAATAAACTTATAAAGTAGGTAATTCGTAAGCGATTCGTAGTTAAATTCTTTACTATACCTTTAAAGCGCCCTAAAACTAATAGTTCTACTAAGAATTCTAATATTATTTTAGCTTTAGTTCTAGCTTTAAGTAGATTTCTAGCTTTAAATACTATTCTACTATACTAATAGTATACTTTTTTATTTTATATTCTACTTTTATAGATTTTTAAAGTTAAATTCTAACTTCTTATTATTCTTTAGCTCTATAGCTATTAAGTAGTAGTTATCTCGTATACCTTATATATACTATATTCTAAATAGGCCTTATAAAGATATTTTTATTTTATTTCTACTTTTTAATTTTTACTCGTAATCTTATCTACTCGAATCCTTAAAGATTATATATTTCTTTAAACTTAACGAGTAGCTCGTCTATATTTAGTAAGTATTCCGCGAGTTTCTAGGTATCTTTCGCCTTAGAGAAACCTTTCTACCTAACTAGATATCGATATTCTACCTTAGTATTCTAGTAGTCGAGAATTTTTTCGACTTTCTACTATTTATCTTTATCTACGTCGATAGGCCTAGGCTTTTCGTCCTCGAATTATATATAATACGATTCTAGTAACGATACGTAGAACGTATTATATAGCCTTCTATACTTCGTTAATAGCTTTAATATATAGATATTCTAATCTACTACCTTAAGTACTTTAAAAGGCCCTAAGAACTAGTTATCTAGTTTCTTACTTATTCCTCGCGTACGAATAAACTTAGAAGATAGTATAATTTAATTCTCTAGAGTATATATTCGTAGCTCTCGACGCTTATTATAGTACTTTACTATACTATACTATACTCGTTCCTACTATATTATAGTTTTTTATCGAGCTTCTTTAAGCGTCCTAGCTCTCGCTTATATAAGGTTATTATTACTTTTCTACGATTCTCGTACGATATTAATATTTATCGTAGATTTAAACGTTAGGACTTAAGAAAATAGTATTTTCTTAGTTATAGTATTAATCGTCTAATTATAAGCGTACTTTACGCTAAGTAGTAGTATAATTTAGTCGTCTTAATAGTAATTAATATAGTAATATAGATAATATTCTAGAATCTAATTTATTTTCTTAGTCTATCTATTAGTTTAAGGATAGAACGCGATCGAAAATCGCCGCTTAATCGCTAGATAATAGTATAGAATTCTCTAGTATACTAAAGTAAATATCGTACTTCTATTACTTACGATACTTCGGAGTATATCGAATCTTATAAATATTTCTTCTACTAAGATATCTTCTAGTTCTTCGACTACGATTTCTACGCGGTATAAAATATAGCGAACTATTTTAAATAGTCGATATACTACTATAAGTAGCGCGTCGTACGCTATTTCTCTACGAGCTAAGGACGAAAGCTTCGTTATAAAGTCTATAAATATATTCTACTATAGTTTTTTCGACTATAGTAGTACCGCTAATAGTTCGTATAGCTTATATTTCGGTACTTTTATACGCTAATATATATTATATAAAGAAACGTAGGTTCGTACGTTCTTCGCTAGTTTAGACTATTAATAAAAGCGTTTAATAATAGTAAGAATTCTTTCTCGGCCGAAATAGTTCTTCTATTAAGAATTATCGTAATTCGCCCTTAGAATTTCTAATTTTATACTAAAATTATAAAGTATATATATCGCGCCTTACCTTCGTACGAAATTCGCGAAGTTCTCGCGCTATACTTCTTTCTAAGTCCTCTAGAAAATTCTTTCTTCGAATAGCTTACTCTACTTACGCCTTTTATACTACGCGTCGATATTTTATAACGCTAATAATTCCTTAACTAAGTTACCTAAGATTTAGTTCTTCTAGGCCGAGGTAATAGCGTTCTCGTCTATATTAAAGTATACGTTAA